CTGTTTTCATCTCTCTCTCACGGTATCCTTCTTAAGATAGTTCTCTCTGTCTTTCGGTTTGTGTATCCGGCGGTCGCTGTTATTGGATCAATACGCGAGGATCCAATTAATCCACGGGGGGGTGCCCTCGACAGATGGCCTATGGGTAATACCATACCCTCGTGCATTAACCCTCCTAAACCACAACCACTCGCGTCGACGACGTCTTGTATGTTACGCGGACGCAAGCCACAACTTGGATCTCGCGATCTCTGCGAGTTGTCACGACTATTTGGAACAATCTGCTCTTATCCAGGGGACGATTATTTTTTAGTTCGCTCCCGGAACGCTCAACCCATTCGAGCATCTCTCTTACTCTTCTCCTCCTTAGTATCGGAGACCGTATACCCAAAACGAGTGAAAATGTTTATCGCGTGTGTTGGAACGAAAAGCTCCAAAGCGTCTTCAAACTATCTGGGCCACTCCTATTACCGAGCAGCCCCCATCAACTTCATCGGTTTCGCGAGCTAACGAGCAACCCGACTTCGAGCCCGAGTTTCCGTTCCTCGTTCTCGTGCCACCAACTACCTCGAACCGGCAAAAAGAGAAGGATAGAGCTTCGAAATCCCGCTTCCCGGCCTGAATGGCTTTCCTCTCGCTTTTCCGTGCTATTCACCGACCAATTAAATCGTCGCTCGGCCTTCCAGGCGTTAACGAGGTCTTTTTCCGTGGTTAACGGAAACCAACGTAGACGAGTTGGGATCAAACGAGGATCTTGGAGATCTTGGGAGCGTTCCTATCGATGAAAAGTTTACGTAACGACTCTGCTGGTCTTTTATCTTGATGTGCTGGACCGAGTGATCGCGCCCAAGGATTAATTTCGGAGCAACGTGTCGTTAGGTTTAGAGAACCCCGCCCTTAAACGACTCGTCAATTTTTCTTTTCTTTTTCCTCTCTATGATCGAGTTTGATCGGTCAAAGAGCATGTCGCATCGACTGACCAACTATCTATTCGTTACAAGTCCGACCAGGTACACTCGAACGTACGACTCGTGCAACTAGAGACTGACAGACGTTGTGTATTGGATTAACATTCTCGAGGGGGTATCCGATTCATCGTCAGCTTTTCTCTTTATATCGATAACGGACTGATCGAAGAGAACGTGGCAGAGATAGAGAAAGATAACACGTTCCTTGTTATCGTTCGGTGGTCGACCGAATGTTCTGCAACGAAAATCGATTGAAAATGGCTACGTATCGACGATCGAAAAACATCCAAATTTCGGACAATAGTTTCCCAAAATGATTAAACATATTTTTAAGCAGAATCAAAAATTTGTCGTATCGTAAAGATATTGCAGCCGGAATCTAAGAAACTATTCATCGATCATTACTATGGTCGCGGGTAAATGTAGCTTGATAAATGGTAAAACGCGCAAACGAGGAAATGGCTTTGCTACTAGCCGGTAAACTGAATTCCTGCGATGCCGAGAACGCACCACATTACCGACGCCTCCAATGTCGTTCTATCGACCGAACAATTCCATGAAATCTCAGTAGTTTCGTCTCGTCGCGAGCCAACCAATCGGTGCGCGTCGTACAGAGGGATGCAGCGAATAAAAAAAAAATGACGAGACCTTGATAAAATTGCATACCGATAACGGAATTTTTTTAAAGACATCTTTGCACGACGCTCGACTCGATAATGTAATGCAGAACGCGACGCGACGCGTAAAACAGCAAAGCGTTCGTTCGACGATAGGAAAAGCGATTTCCTTTCGAACGTTCCCAAGAAGCTGATGCGCTTGAATATTAATACCGCGTCGCTGAAGATTCCTTCGTATCGTTCCCCGTTTTAAAATCACCAACAGAGACTATTACACGCTGATAAATTTGTTCGTTGCGTTCCTCGGTGAAGAAAATGATTTTCGTGTCTGCAAAGTTCGCCGCGTCCTGCTTTTCTATTCTCTTCCGGCCGGAACGTCGCTAAGAATTTTTCGCTAAACTCTGTCTTATGAATTATTTACAGGCTTCTCCGACTTTTTATAAAAAGAGATTTCGAGTCAGCGCCACAGTTTTCGCTCGATAAAATTTGTAATTCAATTCGGTATGCTTTTTTCCATGTTTTCCATCGTTCTTCAGTTACATTATCATCGCACGAAAAGGAAACAGTTTCACAAAAACGTATTATATTACATTCGAAATTCCAGATACGTCGAGCAGACGTTCGAAATAATTTCAATTAATCTCTGATGCATTGTTCGCGAACAGCAAACGCGGAGAAAAGATGAAAGTGTATTGGGTGGAGGGCGTTAGGTTCGGACAAATCGGGCCCGCATCGTATGCACGATTTCGTTCGTTATCTCCGACAGACCGGAAAGGATTCCGCCACCTTCGAGACTGTGCGTGGAGGCTCTGCTCAATCGTTGGATCTCGATTTCGCCCTTCTTTTTACCTCTCGATCGTGGATCGCGCGTTATCGCGTCCATCTTCCGATTCACCCCTCGATACATTCTCATTCTCTTTCTCGCGGAGCATGCACCGACGTTCGAACGGAAGTCGAACGAACCACCGAATCTTTTATTCCCTTCAGAAGGAAACCACTTGGCGCCCTCGCGGCGCGGTTGCTTCCGAATCAACTCCACAAAGAAGCACTTGAAACACCGACGGTTATCGGGCACTGGTTATATTACTAGGGGATTTGGTTTCTGCTCTCCTTCGTGCATACGCGAGTCACGGAAGAACGTCATTGATTGCTCCAACTAATACGAAGACAAATAAAACTAAACTTTCGACTATGCACTAAAAAATAACACGAAATACTATAATTTTGAAACGCATGCACGTTTATTGCGTGAAAACAGTCTACTCTTTCTTGGGCATTTTCCAATCTTAATGTATCATTATCAATAATGGAATATCCAACGCATCGCTTCGAGTAATTGGATAATTGCTACCTCTAATACTTTTGATTCGTTGTTTGAAAATGATAATAGACGTTTTGTCGCGTACTTAAAGAATAGCAAGATCCACGTGTCGTCGTCGAAGGTTTGGGTTAACATTAATTCACGCGTCGATGCAATACAACTGCACTCGATTCGCGTTCGAGGTGCTCCGATCGATACGAAAGTTGGTCGTCACGGTGCTGAAAAAAAAGCCAACGCGTTCACCCTTTAACGAGAGCCGTGCGATTATTCGAAAAACTTTGATCGTTCGTCGAACAAAGCCGGCTGGAATTTTTATCGGAATTTTGTTGGGTTCGGAAAGAGAAACAAGCGAGGAAAAAAGAACGTTGCTCGTGTATAAACGGTGTTTTTTTCCGCAAACGTCGACAAGCAAAAGTTCTTCGCCCGGGATTGTATCATTCGACGAGATGCATAAGTGGAATCGCGTGCGATTTATTTTCAGATCGAGCCGAAAGGACGAGCTTATCGTTGTCTCCGAGCGGTGTTTGCGCGTACTTGGTCGGTCGTTGGTAGATTAAAATTCGTCGGTCATGATAGGTAGAGAGAAGGTAACCGGTTCTATTGGGTTCGCGGCTCAAATCGATTGCCATATATACCGGTCGTTCGGTCGATTTGGTCGTTTGTTGATCGACCTTCTTCTGGTTGGTTCGGTAGTGTCGCGGAACCGGTCGGATTTTTGCGACCGAGTTCCGCGGCCAGGCAACGCGTCTACCGTTTAGAGAAAATGAAGCCAGGCCAGCCCTCGTCCAGTTATATACACCGTAGGAAAGCGCACGCGTGCTACAAAACTTGAACAACCCAACACACGTGCGATTTTTCATCGATCTCGAACGCAGTTACAATTCCTATCGAGGGCAGGTTTCACGGGACCCAAAGATCGGGAAACTTGAAATCATTGCCGAAATAATGAAAGAAATTAATGGGAACCGCCACTCTTTTCTGGGAACTTTTTGCATGGTTTTTAGTTTCAACGTTACCGAGAGTAAATAGGAGTGAATAGCGGAGAAACTCGTTATCTGTCGTACAGAGGAACGGTTATGGTCGTCGACTTATCAGCGACTCTCGACTGGATGGATTCTAACGGTGTCTAGTGAACCAGGTCGTTTCCAGGACGATACGATACGTTTTCCTCCTTCTCTATTTTCGCGTGCGCGTGCGTACGCACGCACGCCGCGGGCTCTTTTAACCAAACGATCATCGTACCTCGGTGGACGCCTAGGATAAACGATAAAGAAAAAAAGACGCGAACGGACCACGGACGCGACAATTAATCCTAGATACCTGTACAAATTCGACCTATGTTCTGCTTCCTCGCACAAGTAACCTGTCGAGCAAGAGCATTGTCGGTAGATACGTAGAAACGTAAAATACGAGCAAGTAAAAGCGACGCAAAAGGAAATCTTTCGATATTAAAATGGTCTTCTCGAGAGCCTTACGCGTACGTACGGTGTTAGATTTTATAGCAACGCCGTACTGTTATTCGACACGGTTAACCAGCACCACCGTTCACGACGCATACTTTAGGATTATCTTCTAAATGGTTAGTAACTTATCTTACGGTAAATCGTTACGTCCGTAACTATTTTGATAGAGAAAGGCAGAAAAAGGATGACGAGAGACGTTGACAACGAACGAGCAAAAAAACGAGCATTTGTTGGTTGGACGAAAACGATGCATTTCGACGTTCCGTTCCAACGATCACTAGCGAACGATATCCGTAAAGCTGTATGCCAGTAACGCATTTCTATAACCATGACGCAATGATCCATAAACAAACCTTTAACCTTGTTAAGTGGTTCATGCGTATTGCACACGTGGTCGAGTGGCTGGTTGCCTTGTCCGACCGGTAATACAAACCATACGTGCACTTACGATTGTTAATTACTTTCTCGCAGATTCGAGTCGATGTTCGAAAGGTTAGAATTTCTTATATTTGAAATATTTTATGCAATCCTTTTCTACTGCCTTTCTCTCTTCGTTGAAAAGATACCAAGTTAGAGTTTTGGTAATTGGCCATTCGCGACAGACAATACACACGCATTGCGCCTCGGTTACCGTTGCTCCATCGTCCGTGCTCGCACCTGGTGGTTCAACGTCGGTTCACCAGGCTCGGCGATCAGGATTCGTACCTGCATCCTTGAAAAAAAGAGACAAGACAGAGGGTTTCTCGGTTGAAAAGGCTCGATGTCTCTCGTGCGCCTTGACCTGCCACGCCACGCGACGCCACGCCACACCACGCCACGCCACGCCACGCCACGTCACGCACGTCACACCGCACCACACCGCACCGCACTGCTCGCTCCGTGTTTCTGTCTGTCGTTCAGTCTCGCTTAACTCATTTTTCTGTCTTTCCTCTGCTCCTCTTCGCCAAGAAGAGACGTGGAAAGCCTGTGAAAATCGTCGATGCTTGTTTTCGTTCCGAATAACAAACAAGGGGCACGAAAAGAAAAGAAAGAAGCTGGACTAAGGTGGACGAAAATGGACGGTGAAGGTAACGCGAGATGCGGAGACAGAATCGGTTCGAGAGAAAAGGGTGTGATAAACGTTTACTGGATTTTCTCATTTTTACGCGATCTCTCGAGCCACTGGAGAACAGCAAGATCGTTTCACTGGTCTGTACGACTAATACATACTTGGACTAATATATACTTTACGATTACTCGATCGTATCGATCTTGTTATAGAAATACAGTGGTCACTACGGTTATCGGTGGCACGACAATACAAATTATAAGACAAACATTCATTTGGTGAAGAGCAGCGTTAGAAAGTGATGGGTGACATTATATGTATAACTAACGACGAGTAATAATATATAATAATAAAAATAATAATAATAAGATAATTAATATACACCAATATACATATCTGTATATACACTCGTAAAAGAAAATATTCAAACATTTACAGCTTCCAACGCGTGGAACATGTACCATATATTAAATTAAAATGTAAGCGTTCGAATATTTTCACGCGGGTGTATATATGTGTGTGTGTGTGTGTGTGTGTGTGTATTCTAGGATACTACTTAATATACGGTCAGTTACTGATATTGAAAAAAATAATCGCTCTAATTTATAGATGTAATAATTTATACATATATACAGGATTTATTTTAACATATATGACCCACTGATCGATCGAAGACACAAGAACAATGACAAGAGCAAATATGTATCCTGTTTAACCTTGATTTGTAGCAATTTTTGTACTCGGGGTAATACGTGGAACGAATGACTGTAATTTTGGGAATAAGGTGAAACATTTTTGTATTGCTTTTGTGGTTTCAATCGAACGTTCAAGTGTCTCCCGCATATTAGGATACACCTTGTACATACATATATGTATATCGGACATCTTTTTGGATTAGTATCGCGGAAGTTTCAGCGCCTCGCTGATATTTAAACGTACCTCCAAAGATTTTTCAACATTTTAAAAATCGTGAAATTTAAAGATGTTTCCCCCTGCCAATTATAATACAATCGTTGGGATATCGCGAAACATTGAACACGCGAGTGTATCGAATCTGTCGCCAGGCATAAAGTCTGCCGATCGGTGGAATAAAGGTGGTGATTCTCAATTATTGATAGAACGTACTGATTCCAATGTCGTACGTCGTATATCGCGATAGATTCAATACCCTCCAGTGTACATACAACTTTTTAATTCGCTTGGCCGTTGGTATCGCACGGTTCGAATCCTCCATACCTTTACAGTAAGCGTCTAAAAGCTCATTCTCATGCGACTGCTAGCTCAACAGTTATATCGGACAAAAGAAACTAGTATTATTTTTCAAACGACTATAAAATAAACGATTATCGAAATGTCGAAAAATCTTTCGAGATACCTTAAATTATCGCTAAAAGGTTTCCGATTTCGAGCGAATAAATGACCTATATATATATAAATATAAGCGAGAAAATGTTCTCTACATCCAATCTGCCACACTACCAAACATAGTGTTCACCACGCTAAGTTACCAGTTACAATTCGCAGATCAAAACAAATATTATGTAAACTACAAGCGATATTTATACGTATATGTATATTTAGACTACGAACAGCGATTATATGGTACACCGTGGCATGGATCGTTTTACCGTGACTGACTCGATTTGCGGCGCCAGCTCCAATCGCTAACTAACTTTTTGCTATCCAAGCGAAAGAAAAAGAACGGCGAACCGAGGGAAAAATGCGAAACGACGTCGATGATTCTGATCACTGCGACGATCGAACCCTTCCCTTCGAGACAAGGATGTACATAATAGTTCGAGATAGAAAGAGAACGGTGATACTCGGTTTAAAAAAAACAGAATGACGGCTGGCGGTCAGAGCGAAACGAAAGGTAATAATCGTTGTCGAAACGAGTGGCTGGGAATCACGGCGTCGCGTAATTAGTCGAATTAATCGAGGCTATCGTCAACGTGGGGCAATTAATTAAACGACAGCGGTGCGTGCGGTGTGTCTCGACGTTCGAAACGCGAGCGAACGAGCAACAAACGAAAAGCTAATTGCCCCGTTCGCAAAGGACTTCTGGAAGCCAAGCCGCCGCGGCGGTTTCCCCGTGACTCGACTAAGAAATCGTCATCTCGGTCCTTCTGTCGCGAGTTTAACGAGCGCGCGTCGCGCCAATCCTCGCGTATCGTCGTAACGAGCTCGTCGACAATTAACGATCAACCGTGTCAAGATGCCGTATCGATTTCTCCGTGGTACGATGGAACGATGTATCGTCCTCCGATACCGATTTCGGTCTACGTGGCGTTTCAATTTCATACATCGCGATTCTTCGAGTTATTTGGACTTTGTTGATTGGCTCCGTCTCTCTGAATCCTGAATGTTATCTCGTCCACGCGCCTCGATCGAATTTCTCCTCGCTATACGCGGAATCGCGGCGCACGGCTCTCTACACGATGGGAATATGCGAGCACAGTATCGTAGATCTGTAGCGAAACTCCCCTCCATCGTTGGCTGGAGCTCCCACCCTTGCCTGCTCTTCAGAGAGCGGACTCCATTCCTACCCCTTGCTCTGCCCTGCCCTGTCCTACCCTGCCCTGCCCTGCCCTGCCCTACCCTTCCCTACCCTTCCCTACCCTTCCCTACCCTTCCCTACCCTTCCCTACTCTGTTCGAAGCAGCGTCGCCGCCGCCACCGCCGACACCTCCCCTCGCCAACCACCCCCGACGACGAACCTATCTTCCTGGTCAATAACCTCGGTGTGCCGTGTACCGCGGCATAATCGGCCACCGGCGCGATTCGAATCAACGTGTTTCGATGGGGCACGTGTCTTTCCGCTACTCGCTCGCATCTTCCTCGATTTCTTCAGTTTCCGTTTTAAAGGACGGGTCAGAGTTCCCGGAAAATGGACGACGATTGATTTCGCGCCGCGGAAACGCCTCTGTCGCTCCTTCTTTCCAAGACAAATGTAGGATGTTGGAGGGGACGAAAGTCTCGAAGCAATTGATTTTACAAGTGTCCCGAGACTCGTCATATTTCTTATTCGTTTCTCTTCCGAGCAAATCGATCTACTTTTTCTTCCAACGAACCAACCCCCTCCTACTTTGTTTACGTACGTTTAAAATTGATTATCTATCGATTCAAACGCAACGGAGTTTACAGCGTTCAAGTTGCGTTACACGTTTTTAGAAGCTTCTGACATTACGGCAGGAATTCCTCTCGCCATCCTTTTGCTTATCGATCGTTCGCCCAGCCGATAGACTCGTTACAACTTTCCTTTAAAATGCATGCCGTGGTAGAAGAGGGTAACGTGAAATTTTTCAATACTCCGGAAATCGAATAAACGGGACCCGCTTAAACGTATCGATGGCAAAATAAATCGACGCTCTATGCTCTTCGAAAACAAACGATACAGAATTTCCAAGGTTCGCGCGATCGATATCAAAGTATGGAGAAAGATAAATAATGAGGATAAAGTAAACATTGTTAGTTCGATGTGTACGGATAGAAATAAAAGGAACGATCGTCGTCGGAACGATAATGTTGGTTAAAATCGACGCGACAACAGGTTCCGGGAACTTTGTGCCGAGATACCACCCCCGTAAGGTGTTGCCATCTGTGTCGGTTGTCGGGAAGCTCGTCTTAAAAATCATCCCCTGTAAGATCAATACATCGTACGGACAGACAGACAGTAAGTCTGTGAAACGCGGTCGGATTATTCCCCGGGAGATCGGGCGCTTTTAACTTGTAACAATGGCGAGGGGGAAAGGGTAGAGACACGATTAAACGGAAATAGAAAACAGGATGCGTATTAATTTCACGTGGGTGTACGATCGAAAAATTCTTAAACGCGTGGAATGCACGATGTATTTTGAACGTAACGCGACGATTCTACTAAAAACCGATGCGTTTTCCTTGACAAGCTTCTGCAAACATACTGACTCTCGGCCGTACGTCCATGTTTCGCATCAACGAGACTCTGTTCAAGGTTGATAATTATCGTCTCGAGCATCGTAACGTCGATAAAGCGTCTACTTATACCGGTGTATAGGTGTAGGAAGTTTCGTCAACGGTTTTCGCGTTAACGCGACCCTCTGTACTCGCGCCACCGACGCTCGACAAGGTTTCTTTGTTTACGAACGAATTTGCAGGCCAGCTGAAGAGCCCTGTGAGCTCTTCAGTCGATTTAGAATAATACACGCGCTTTGGAAACCATAGAAAACAGAAAAAGAGTTGATCGTAAACGACCAGGGAAGACCCATGAATTCGGGTCAGGCATTTGGCTTACGGGGGAAGTTTCCAAAGGTTTCCTCCGCTCCCTCTTTCCGTAGCGTCCGCTTTGCGGCTTCTAACGAGGGTAATTTGATTTCCAGGCAGCACCGGTCGCGATCAGTCGTTTGTAAAGTCACCGGCGCAGCGCGACGATTCCAACGACCAACGACCAACGTATTGAAAACGTTTGAAATTTACTTTTAGTACTTTTAACAACGAGCAAACTATCCAAAATATACCATTACCCGTACAACTGAAATAAAATCGGAACCCCCAGGATTTCGTTGAAATAGAAAAATGATCGTTCGGCCATTGTCGATGATTATCGAGCGATGCCGGTGAACCAGTCGCGAGAAACGCGGGATACGCTTTAATATTGACAATAGCAACGACAAAGTTCCTGGCAGGGTTGAACGAGGGTTTGCAGAGGGACCGAGAATGATGGGGTCGGTTGGTTGCGGGGTAAGCAGCTTATTGCGAGCGACGCGGTTCGGATTTTCAGCAACGTCGCTGTTTGACGTTGACTTCTATCCGATAGCTGCTGCACGAACGAAACACGTCTCTCTACCGAAAAACTCTTACGCTGTTGAATGAGGACTGCTGTATCCGTGAAAGCTTCTTTCCTCCGCGCGATGCAGTCACCCCCGAACGCGTCGAGGCCAACTCGCTCAATTTCTGCGCTTCTCGTTCGTTGACACTTTCCGAAATGTTTCGATAGTCGACGATTCTCTGCTCCGCTACTTCCTTTCCAAATACATGTACGTATACGCGCGTTTTACGAGCAGAGATTACGCCAGAGACGTGTCGCCGTGTGGTTCTCTTATCTCTTAATAAGCTCGACGCGTATGCATTTCACCGATTTACACGAATCATCGTGTATCAAGAATTTAAACAATACTTCACACATGTTCAATTATAATATGTTAGATATCTGTTTTTTCTTCTTCTTTAGCTAATGAAATTGCAAGAATGGAAACCAGCGATTCACTTGGACAATCGGTACAGGTTA